CATATGTGAATGCAAGGGAACTCCAGACGAGTAAAAACATATAAAATAATAGGAGTAAAAATAGTAAACAACAATAATACTAATCAGGTATAATGGTATAACCAGTAACTCAAAGTATTTTAATATGGATACACATAGGGATACAGTGTAACATGTAATAATAATGTTTATGTACAGGCCAACATAGGCAAACGTATAGCTGATGACGAGAGAAACAGATACATGGTGACTACAAACAGGACAGGGAAGCCGTTGGTTACGTGAGAGGAAAGAATAAAATCGAAGGGATCCAACTGATAGTCGAAAGAGGGGAGCAGTCTTACCTTCATGATGGGGGAAGAAATATTTTCAATGGGGAGAGTATCGGCGATGTGGGGTAGTAAGAAAACGGATAACGGCGAGAAGATTGTAAAGTGATGAGTCAGCATGAGTGCGAGGGGAGGGAAGCGCCATTCACCACAAGGTCAGTATGAATATTTTTGCAAGTGATGCTTAGCTGCGTGTCGGAGATGTACAGTAAGTGAATATCAGATAGTGTGAGTACGAATGGGTTATTAGTCGTGGCGTTTAGCTGATTATACATACAGGAAGTGTGAGCACCCCTACCTGTAATTCAAAGAGGAGTGAAAACAAGAGGACATAATCAAAGAAGTGGAAGAGCGTCAAAAGAGATAAGAGAGAGTGAGTTGTGGTCACTGGACCTTAGTGTGGCACTGTATTCTGGTGTGAGCGTGTAAACTATGTTGTTTAGTGGACGGGAGAAAGGGTTTATTTTGCATGTTGTGAAGGATGTATCAAGGGAGAAGGGGATCTCCCCGTGGAGTGTTATAAAATAGTTAGTTGAGTAAAAGAGGGTAACGCTAGTGAGGCCGAAGAGTGGGCGGCAAGGGGAATTTATTAGTCGAAATGCAGTCGATAAACGTGGCAAGGGCTGAGGGGGTAATGATGAAGGGCATAGCCTAACCGTGGCCGGTGGTGTCAAAGTCATGTGGTCGACAAAAAAAACGGACACGGAAATTTGGGCGAGAAGAATAGAGAAAGGTTGTTATTGCAAGACGTCGGAAAGGGACACACAATTTTCTCCACTTTAGATTTGCAGCCATGTTGCTGACTGTTGTTTTAATAGCTCGTAGTGCAAGCGCTGTCTTCACCATAAATGATAAAGTGAGTGATGTCTCTAAGAGTGCTATGGGAGGTACTGTTGATTGCCGTCTGGACAACAGATGCCCACATGTCCTAGTTTAAGCTGGCAGAAAGTAAACCTGTCTGTAACATGTTGAATATCGTTCTATCCAACCTTTGTATTACAGTGGGGCTGCTATAGAGAATTATTGAACTCACTGCCATTATCAGAAACGATCTCGTCAGATTATGTTTTCCAAAAATGCACCAGCAATGGCGGTAGTGGACTTGTCAGGAACAGGTATGAGTGTATAGAATCTCGAAAAATCTGTTGTTGGCAATGGAGACACTGACACACTGGAGTAGCCTATGTTATATGTGAGCGCAGGAGCCGACGTGGAACCTCTGTATAGCGGCATAATTGACTCAAGAGGCTAAACGAGGGAAGAAATAACGTGACCTTGTAGTCTTAAAGGCTTTGTCCACACCAGATTGGGAGACTGTAGGGGACTAAAGTAGCTGTAACACCGTCGGTACGAGCTTTTCAGGGACTACAAGATGTTTATACGTGTTCTTTTGACGGGCACCGCGCCGTTTACCAGGGGCTGAACGACGGAATAGGAGGCCATCCTCAAGGAAGCTCTTTGGTGTGGACATGGGGTCGCCTGGGTATGGGTGTTGACGTATACAACGGGTCTTCTCGCTGTTGTTTGCGCACGTCATCTGCTACTAGGACGTCTAAATGAAAAACGGGTATGCGGGATAATGAATCTGCTACCTTGTTGTAACTAACTAACTACCTTGTAAATCTTAAGTGGAGAAGACTGTGTGTCCCTTTCCGATGTCCTGCAATAACAAACTTAATGAGGAAATTGTCAACGCATTCAGTTTACGGTAATCTACTACGGGACGAAGTGATCCGTCTTTCTTAGGTACGAAAATCACAAGGGCACTCCAGGGTGATGTATTTGGTGAGATGAGATCCAGCTCTAATAGTTTCGTTATCTCCTCGTTGAAGGCAGGTCTGCGGCTATGTGATACGCGATAAGAGGGAATGTACACTGGCTTGTAGTCCTTTTGCAAAAGAATCTCGTGTTTGAGTAACGACGTCCGACAATGGGGGGCGTTCCGGGCTAGGTAGCAATTAAGGAATATCACCGAAAAGACGTAATACCGCGAATCCTTCTTCAATATCAGCAGTATCTGATACCGATGTGTGATCGATCACCGGGGCTGCAGGTGTCGGCGAGCCTAGAGCAGGTGTAATAGAGGCAGATAGCGCAGGTGCAGGGGGCTCGACATTAAGGAGAAGTGTGACTTCCATATATATTGCCCGGCCTGTGTCAGCTGTGTCATTCAATGCTTCCGTGGTGGCAACCCGGCCGCCCTAAAGATCAAGCTACTCCCTCTATTAACACCATTAGTGTCAGTTGTAGATGACACACTTACCGGCACCATACAGTCCGTGAAAGGTGGCAAGAGTGTGGTCGTGAGGACCTTACAAAAGGAGTTATCAGACGCTGGGGTCCATGTGAAAATGTGTTGGTACGGCATCGTGCGCGTGTTTAGGGGAAGTTCACCCTCAGGCTTTGAAACAACTACTGGAGTGGAAGCCTCACGGGCCTCCAGTTTGCGAGCGAGTGCTGAGAGAGAAACGTCCTCAGGTTCTGAAACAACCACAGGGGAGACATTGCTAGTCACGCGAGGGAAGATCGTCCTCGGGGCTAACTGAAACAACGATGCAAGTCGATCGTTTACATCTTAGTTTTGATCAGCTAATACATTTCCTACGCAAATGGCTGATGATTTTCTGTCTCCTTTTTCTTTTTAGCTGTGTTTTGACCTGCACTTACACGTTTGGTGATATGATTTTCTAATATTTCAGTGTGGCACTTTACATCGCTTAAGATTATAATAATGGTGATAATAATGGTGATGGTGATAATAATAATAATAATAATAACAATGATAATGAAAAGAAAGGTATGTATATATAAATATATACATATATACATATACATGCATATATGTATATATGCACACACACACACACACACACACACACACACACACACACACACACACACACACACACACACACACACACACATACACACACACAGAGGCAGATAGCACACTCACATATATGTGTGGGTGTGTATATCTATCTTACATAAAAAAATCATATATGACCTGCACGCAAATATGAAATTAAATTCATATCGTTATTCACCTTACGAATCTACTCACCATAAGCGACATACGAGATATATTCACATATGTAAGAAACGATGATGATGATGGTAATAATGATAGAAATGGTGCTGACAACAATAATGCTGATAACCATAATAACAACAACAACAACAATGATAATACTAATAATAGTAATGATAACTATAATGATAGTAATAGTAATTGTAATGATGATTATTTTGATAATGATAATGATATTAATAGTCATATATATTAATAGTGACAATAATAATTATAATGGTAAAGTAAATTAATAATGATAATAATAATAATAATAATAATAATAATAATAATAGTAGTAGTAGTAGTAATAATAATAATAATAATAATATTAATAATAATAATAATGAAAATGATAATTATTATTATCATTACTATTATTGATATTATTATCGTTACTATTATTATTATTATCATAACTGTTATAGTAGTAGTAATAGTAATGGTGATAATGATAATAAAGAAATTACAATAATAATAATGATATTATTAATAATAATAACATCGATAACAGCAATAATGATAATAATGATGATGATGATAATGATGATGATAGCAAGATTAATAATAATAATAATAATAATAATAATAATAATAATAATAATAATGATAATAATAATAATAACAGTAATAATAACAACAAAAGTAACAAGGATAAGGATAATAATTATTATTATGATAATGGTAATAACAATCATAATGATAACGATAACAATTATAATAGTAATAATAATGATAATAATAATAATGATGATAATAATAATAATGATGACAAAGATAAAACTAATTATAATGATTATAATAGCAACACTAATGATGATAATGATAATGATAATAATAACAACAAAAATGATAATAATAATAATAATAATGATAATAATAATAATAATAATAATAATAATAATAATAATAGTAATAATAATAATGATAATTGTAATAATAATAATAGCAATGATATGAATAATAAAGATAATAGTCATAATAGTAATGATTAAGATAATAATGATAATCATAATAATAAATTATCATCATTTATTAATGATAATAATAATAATATTGTTAATAATAATAATAACAAAACAACAAAAAATCAACAACAAAACAATAATAGTAATAGTAATAATGATAATAATAATAGTAATAATAATAATAATTATAATAATAATAATAATAATAATAATAATAATAACAACAACAACAATAACAGAACAACAAGAACAACGAACATATCCATTACCCTACGTTCTCCCCCCCCCTAAGGGCGACTCCGGCGGCCCCCTGGTGTGCTGCGAGGAAGGCTCGATGGAACCCGAGGACTGCCGGCTGAGCGGAGTGACGTCCTGGGGCATCGGGTGCGCGCGGAAGGGCCTGCCGGGCGTCTACACTGAGGTGGCGCATTACACTGACTGGATAAGAGAGGTGATCGAACAGAACGACGACGATAACAGTTCTGTCGCGAAGATCGGGTTCTACAAGGGAGAGCAGGAGAAGAAGAAAGGCAGAGGAAAAGGAGGGAGGAAGAAGAACTAGCTCCCCCATTGATAAGTGTATTTGGAGGTGATTCATGGGTGTTTTGATGAGACCGAGAATAAAAAGATAAAAAGAAATATATACATATATAT